CCCCCCCCCCCCTCTTTCTTTACTGTAGATGTATCGTTATATCAAAATTGGACGCCAACTCTTAGGACCCTGGCTAAAAGCCTGATTATATATCACATATTTTAACAACATTATAACCATTTATTCCCGAGCCGACGGCGCGAAGCGCCGTGCGAGGGTACTAATTCCCCCCGGCTATTTACACTCGGGGAAACGAAAGCATTATCGGAGTCTAAAGTTCATCAATTAACGCGGGCGTGGGAGACCAACGATGGGTGGTCATCCTCACTGATCTCAAAAATATGGCGGACTGTCATGAATAGCGGACACTGATTGGTCCAATTTAAAATTTGCATTATAACGACTGCGTGACGACAGCGAAATAGCAAACATTTCTTGATTTGATGATTGATAAATTTCTTGCAAATATATTTCATTTTTGCTCGCATTTTTGCAAGATTTTGTAAATTTCAAAAGGGCGAAAGAATCGGCTAAAAGAAGGGAGGCGACGTTAACGAAGGTAAGTTTATTTTAAATATTGATTTTATAGTGGCTTTAAAACCTGGCGGCCTTTGCGTATATGAAACAACTAAACAAGACAGCATATAATTTCAGTCTATCTTTAATATTGATTCGATCCCTTTTTTATTATAATGAATTTTTTAAATAAATAAAAAGAAAGCAAAGTTATTTGCATCCGAGGACTTGAAATCATTTTATTGCAAACTCAAAGTTTATCGATAAAACCATTTCATTAAAGGCAGTTTGGTTTCATAAAGAACACTTTAAAACGTTTTGCGAAGCGTTTGTAGTTGAATTTTACCTTAAATTGAGGCTTATAATTATTACGTATTATAGTGACCCTTCGCCTGCTGTAGAAGAACTAACCTTTATTACTAAACTAATGATTATTTACATACAACTATATTGGATACTAATTAGAATATTAATAAGGTAACATGGAATAGTAATGAGGACATTACATCCCTCCTTGTCACTAGTTAAAAAGTATCTTTTCTCTAATTTAAAGTAAACCTAATAATGCCTAGAAGTTTTAAATATTTCTCCCAAGATTGTCCACATATCTTAAGTTCAAACTAATATCTACGGTAGAATATTTTTTTTTTTTGTCTTTTCCTCGATCTTTGATTGTTCAAATAAATTGTCTAAATCATCTAGGTTATTATTGTTATCTAGTTATAATTTATATACTTATCTATCATTAAACATCCTTAATTGATGGTTGTGACATAGTCCGTGAATCTTGCGGGTTGTCTTCTTTGTCGATTTGATCTTCTTAACGATTCGGTTATTTCATCTTGATTGGGATTAGCTACAGATGGTGGAGTCTCAGTTTGTGCTTCGTTTCCTTGCTTTTCTTGGTTTCTTTCAGAATTCAGCTCTGGTGGGATAACTTTAAACTGGGATGAGTTTCGCGTCACGGTCTTGAGATCATTACTAGCTGTCACCATAGTCCCTTTCTTCTCTTTCACCACAAATGGGTTTGGGTCAAATGGCGTACTCAACTTGTTTTGCTTAGGTTGCTTCACCAAGACTACCATTCCAGGGCTAAGCGAACTTTCTCTTGCACGTGATTTGTTGTCAGCATACAACTTCTGCTTCGACTTCTGTTCAGCGTCTCTTCTTTCCATCTTTCTTTGTATATCATCATAATAACTCTTGGGAGGTCTGGTTCAGGTAAGGTCGTCTTGAGTTTCCTCTGGTTGAGGGCTTCACATGGTGAGATGTTTGTGGTGGAGTGGGGTGTAGCACGGTATTGCCGAAGGAATTTGTACAGATCTTGTTTCCAATTCCTCGCTTCAACAGTAGCAGTGCGTATGGACTTTCCGAGAGTTCTCATAAAGCGCTCAGCTTCCCCGTTAGCTTTTGGCCAACATGGTGTAATCCGACGATGTTGGAAACCCAGATGCTCTGCGAATTTCTTGAATTCGAGACTAGTAAACGGAGGACCATTGTCGCTTTTTAAGACGTCAGGAATTCCTTGTCTGGAAAAGATTGCGTCCAACTTCGGTATCACTGTTCTAGCTGATGTGGAAGTCAAGATTTCAACCTCTGGAAAACGACTGTATTCATCGATAACCACCATGATATATTCGCCCGAAGGATAAGGTCCGGCAAAATCGATGCACACTTCTTTCCAAGGACCACTGGGCAATGGGGTCATCTTCAGAGGTTCTGAGCGTTTTGAGCTTTCGGGCGTTGAAACTTGGCAAGGATGACAATTTCTTATCTTCTCTTCTGTAAGCTTGTCTATGCCAGGAAACCAGACTTTCTCCCTTAACAATCTTTTTGTTTTCATGACACCTTGATGCCCAATGTGTGCTAGATCCACAGCTTTATTTCTCAGCGTTGGTGGTATCACAAGGCGATTTCCCCTCAGGATTGTACCTTTATGAACTATTAATTCTTGTTTGATCTTCGTGTACTCCTGAACTTCGGGGGTTGACCAGTTATCGGTTTCAATTGCCTTTATCACGGCTGAGATCGTCCACAGTAGGCATCAGATGCTTCTCTCTTTTCACCACCTGATTAGCTTCACGCATATCAACGCAAATTCTCACTTCTCCCGAATCTTTTGGCACGACGACGATAGGACTTACCCAGGGAGTGGGACCATCCACTTTCTCTATTATATCTAACTTCTCTAACCGTTCAAGTTCTTTCTCTACATCTTTTCGTACGTGGAAAGGTATTCTACGATGAGGTTGTTGTTTCGGTTTCACTTGGGGATCTATATGCAATTTAATTAACCGTCCTTTTACTTTCCCAATTCCTCCAAACAAACACTTGTAGTCTTGTCGTAGACATTCAGGGTATGGAACATCGACTGCATTCACAGATACTTGAAGGAGATTCAATTTCTTGGCTGTGACAAAGCTAAGTAGATTTCCAAAACTTCCTTTAACGACATGTAGCTTGGCAACTGTTGACATATCTGGTGTTTTGATCGTAGTGATAAACGTCCCGAGTACTGGTAGGGGTACTGATGAACCATAGGAGTAGATGTGACGCTCTGCCTTTTCCAATCTTCGTTCTCCATGTCGATTTATTTTCCTGTAGGTTGTTTCATCTATCAGGTTGACCGATGCTCCAGTATCGATCATTATGTTGAGTCGTTGTCCTTCTATTTCAATTAGACAGGTAGGTGGGCCATTTGGTGACTTGTTAACCGTATAGACATATTCGTACTCGTCAGCTTCGTCATCGTTTGGTCGGTTCTTATCAAGGGATTGTGCGACAGCATTCACAGGTTTCGATTTCGGTGGATTCGTACGACATACGCGTGCAAAATGTCCACGTTTTCCGCATGCTCTACAATCTTTATCCTTCGCTGGACAAACTTGTTTATGGGGAAAATGTCCACCGCAATTTCTACAGGTTTGATGTGGCTCTTTACTTTGTTTAGAAGTATGAATATTCTTCTTGCTAAAATGAGTGGGTGGTTTATCCTCACGCGATAAATAATTTCGTCTCATTTGATAGCTTCTGTTTCTGCCACGCACCGAATTTATTGCTTGATCTCTTCCTTCGAGATGTCTTGCTTGACTTTCGCTGATTTCTAACGATCTTCCAACTTTTAATAACTTATCCAAGCTGTATTCATCCTGAAGTGCTCGCCTACGCAGCGTGTTCGAAGTGCAGCTAAGAATAATGTGTTCTTTCATCTCTTTGTCTATGTCCGTAAAATCGCAAGTCTTAGCGAGTTGACGAAGTCTAACGTGATAACTATCGAGTGATTCTCCTTGATTTTGTCTTGCTTGTCTAAAATTATAGACTTCGTACGCGATATTCGTTTGTGGAGCGAAGTATTCAGTGAGTTTTCCTACGGCAGCTTCATAGTCTGTGTCGGCTTCGCCTTCGGGGTATTAGAGCGTGTCAAAAATTTCGTCGACTTCTGGGCCAGCAAAGTGTAGCATGAGTGCTTTTCTTTGTTTCTTATCTGTAATGTTCATCGCTGTTAACAGTCGTTCTAAACGAGTTACCCATTTCTTCCATCTTGGTCCGGTATTGCCGTCCAAATGAACTTCAAAAGTAGGGAAATTCGGCAGTGAAACAGCCATTCACTTAATGTATTCTAGCCTGAAGCTAAATACCAATTAAAGTTATCGTTTGGCTTCGTAACGTTTGCTGTCTGCTTCTTGAACATCAACAGTATGTATTCTTTTTTTTATATATCTTATAGTTTACTAGATTTACAATCCTCGTCTCCAGATATAGTGACCCTTCGCCTGCTGTAGAAGAACTAACCTTTATTACTAAACTAATGATTATTTACATACAACTATACTGGATACTAATTAGAATATTAATAAGGTAACATGGAATAGTAATGAGGACATTACACGTATAATAACATACCTAACATATATATATGTTGGGAAATTGATAATTATGTGATATTTTAGGCGATTTTTCATTTGTAAGAATATTCGTGTTACCATGACAACTACTTTAGATACTTCATGTTCGGAAAATAGAATTGTTTTGTCAGCAAGGCGAGGGTTTCTGCATGCATGTATTTTCTAGTATTATATATACATGGAGCACATATAAGGTCTTTAATAAATAACGCTACATTGTGTTTGTTTTTATAATAATTACTTGTGTCGAAAGTAAGAAATGAAGTGAACAAGGCCATATATATTTGTTGAAAGTTTGTTGCAGTGGGTATCTCCCATTTGTTTTTCATGCTTCACACTGTCACACTGTGTATCTTTGAACATTTAATCAACAACTAATTATAGGCAAGGATATATTTACTAGCTCATTACTCCATGTTACCAGGCAGATAACATGCAACACATCAACCTTGCAATCCCTGCTTTAACCCCTGCAGTTGCCCCCTCTCCTGCAGCATGTTGGGAAGGGAGGGGAAGGAATTCAAATGGAGGTACTGTAATTTATGTATTCAGCCCCGCTCTCTTTTAAGTCCCTCTCCAATATTCCCTCTTTTAGGATACAAAAATAAAAAGCCCCCCTCCCTCTTAACCATGCAGCCCCCATTCAATTAATTCTTAAAATCATGAATTATATTGCATTTCTGCAGTATTTTAAAACGGTATCTCTGAATATGGACATTTTTTAAAAGTAACCAGATTTATTGCATATATTTAGAACAAGTGCCCCCTCCTCGCTCCCCCGCAGAGGCTTTTAAAGAATATGAAATTCGAAGGAATTGAAATTGCGCTAGAAGGTATCTGGTTTCAGCGGTTGTCTTCTACCAGATACCTTCTAGCGCAATTTCAATTCCTTCAAATTTTATATCGGCTTTAAAAGCCTCAATGATGCTTGGGAAAGAATAACACCCAGGAGGCTTGATACAGAAATTAACTGGTTATTTCATTGACATGCACTGGTAGCTATTTCAATCCTACTGTATCTCCTTTTATATATAATTGCTAATAGAATAATAGTTTGGAAATGGAATCAATGCTTGCATATTTTTAGCAAATGAGCCTTGTATTGATCCACAATGACTCTTATTGCTATAAACAACATTGACATTATTTCATATAGCTACAGACAAGGAAACATCTCTTATTCTGTATTTAAATTCACCAATTCTTTTTATCCTGACACAAATGTTTCATTAACTGCTACCTTGATGCAAAAATTATTTCAGCAATCAAAGTGGCAATCATTTACAAAGCAAGTCTATAACCAAATGTTTTACAACCTGAGGAACTTCTTAAATTAATTGTTCCATGATTTATACAGATGATACAAAAACACCTCGCATCTTAAATTTATAGATAACTCATTTTACAAAAGCACAAAGACCACGGGCTACAACATGTCGACCATAATTGATGTGTAGTTAATTAAAGTGCCCCTAACCTCAATTATTTTTGTCATCTCATTCTTAAGAACTTCTGAGATGATATAATAACTTATTTTGAAGATTTTCGTTTGCTCACTTTGTTTCTGAGATATTTCAGTTTCTTTGGTATGCAAATACCCGGAATTTACGCGTCACAAATGCATAATGATTTAAAGTAAAAGCTTGTATATCGTATTCACTATCGAGTTTATAATTCATTAAAATGAGGTTTGGAGTTGTGGGAGGATTAAATATACCTATGTAAAACACCATTTAGCCTTTTTATTTCATGATATTTAACTGTACCTTACATTCTTTGATCAGTCATTATTCATATGTGACGTAAATTCCGGACACTGGCATATCAATAAAACTAAAAATAAATCAAAGACAAAGTGAGCAAACGAAAATTTCTTCAAAATAAGCTATTATATTCGAACCTACGACCTTTGGAATACTAGCCCAATGCTCCGCCAACTAAGCTACGCGGTCAGGACGGTTCGAGTAAGTGATATTTCGGAATGGAATCTAGGGCTAGTACTATTCCATAGGTCGTAGGTTCGATTCCCACCGTGGCCGGGCATATTTTTCAAGCTCGCCCGGTGTGGATATACACTCAGAGTAACATCACAAACATCATATTCACACCTGAGTACACAATATCAGCACAGAAAAAAAAGCTATTATATTATTTCAAAGGTTCTTAAGAATGGGATGATAAAAATAATTGAGGTTAGGTGCACTTTAAGCGACCTCTTAGCACATATATGTCAAGTGAACATGAAACGGAAGATCTAATGTGCTGTATTGTTTAAAGCTTTAACACAAGCAAAAACTGTCACTTCAAAGTGCTGGCAACAATACATCAATTTAACAAGACAACGACAACGTGCGCGATGATTTCATTTAGCCAATTCTTTCATGGTTATCATGGAATAAATACGAAGTCGTACGCCGTCGTTTCCACATACAAATATGTCAATATATTCATACTGTAGATCGATAAAAAGTCATTCATAAATACTATGCCATTTTGTAAGCATATGCCCAACGTCCCAATACTTGTTCATACGATTAATATTATTTATATTATATCCTTCGATATATATTGTTTAATTTCGCATTCCACATCTGATAAACATTGATCGTTCTCTCTTTGCGTATGTTCCCGCGTAATTCTCGTAAAAAACACGCATTAAGGAGGCTCCCTACCAGGGCGCTTATATACTGGGCGGTGCAACGACGTGTGATGCGGAAGAGGACTGGCACGAGAGTGCTTATTTGCAAATTCGAATAAAATAGCTAATTTTGTTTATCCGTATTGCATCGCTTTTTTTACTGAAACGTTTCGTTGTGAGACACGGTTTTTTTAAAAAATAGATAAAATGACTCTTATTTACTATCGAAAGTATCTTTAAATCAAGAATATGTTGAAATGTGCACAATATTAGGGAAAACGGCGTGATGTTTTGATGACTTCTATTGATTGTTTTTTCACTGTGCAGGCGCTTGGTGTGTTATCGTGAAGACTACGGCATAATTTTTCGGTAAGTTAAAAGTCACCTATTATATGTTTGTATTGTAAAATTCTGGAAAAAATCGGAGTGGATAATTTGGGGATATTGTATGACTTAAGTTGACCCTTTTAAGGCACAAAATCCAGTAGATTATTGTATAAAATTTTGTATTTTAAAGTACGCCAATATTTTAAATATGCTGTCTCGTTCTTCCCCGTATATGCTTTGTAATTTGTCCAAAATTCTATAGATTGTAGAAAGAAATAGCTGCAATTTTGGACCCTATTGCTACTAAGACCTGTTTGGCGAAGTACGGCATATTGAAGATATAAACGAGCGCTTGGTGTGTTAAATGCTTTTATACACCTTGAAATTTTGTTGTAGAATTGTATTGGGGGTATACGTTTCATAATTTGTCAAAACAAAGCGATTCGTAGTGGATAATTTTATTGATTTTGACCTTTCAAGATAGCCTAGCCATAAAAATTCTTTCTTTAAAATCGAACATTGAGCTAAGGATGATTGTATATCACTATGGAAATATAGATAATGGCGTTTGATGTGAAATGTCGTAAGCAGGGGCAAGCGCGCTTTGCTAAACTAGTTTGCGGGAAACGTTTGTCTTTTGTTGTTTCTGTATTATTATTTTTTGCTGCAAATGTGCGATGTAAACTGTAAAAGACCCGCGTCGGGCTTCTCCCCATCGTATTGTAAGCGTGTTAAACCGAGTTTAGAAAAAGAAAGTTATAAAACATGTTCAGCTGGCGAGAGTTCCTGTTCATCGTCTCCGTCGTAGGGCCTCAAAATGAAAAACTTCAACCTGTTGCAAACATTGGCTGCATAAAATTTCCACCTTCTACGTCACTGGAATACAGCAGTGGATTACCTCTTCAGCCGGAAGAACTACTTCTATGTAGTTTAATTACAGTTTCATCACCTGGCAGGAATATAAACTCTGTCAAGGGATATTCACCAGAAAAGTTTGCAGGAATCTCAAATGCTATCTTGGATGTTTACGATATTAACTTTGACTGTGTGAAACTTCGAAACTATTTCTACAGGTCTATAAACAATACAAGAAAAGGCTTAGGTAAATTTAATGGGGTTCTTCGGTGGAGATACTATGCTCTGGATGTGAACAGAATAGTTACCAAGTATCAGAACATATTGGTAAATCTACTGGTTAATAACAATGCAGTTGGTGCTCAAGATTACAAGGATTTATGTGATGGTCTTAATTCAGCTAGTGTGTCTGCTTCACAGGAATTGGAAAAGTCGAAAAGCCTTGCCTACAAAGTCAGTAAAAGCAATTACATCTTGGCAAAATTTCCTAAATGGAAAGTTGTGGCAAATATTGATGAATGTGAGGTACATTTGCATTACTTTGGTTCCAATCTTACTAGTATTACTGAAGAATATAAAGTTACAATATTTGCAGATGGTACATACAAATTTATTTTTGGAGGGAAACCCAGAGAAACAAATTTGAACTACAAGGACAATAGTCCTATCCATAATCTCAATGACCTGTATTCATTTATGGAACACTTGGAGCGATATTATCTTTGTCCGAAAGTCTGAAAGAGCTTCTTGTTTCATAAGTTGGCAAACAATGTTTGACTTGCAGGTAAACAATCCCCCACTAACAGTTATTTCGA